GACCAACTACGACTCTCATGGCCTAGTTATCTTTAACCTTCTCTCTTGTGACCAACTACGACTCTCATGGCCTGGTTATCTTTAACCTTCTCTCTTGTGACCAACTACGACTCTCATGGCCTAGTTATCTTTAACCTTCTCTCTTGTGACCAACTACGACTCTCATGGCCTGGTTATCTTTAACCTTCTCTCTTGTGACCAACTACGACTCTCATGGCCTGGTTATCTTTAACCTTCTCTCTTGTGACCAACTACGACTCTCATGGCCTAGTTATCTTTAACCTTCTCTCTTGTGACCAACTACGACTCTCATGGCCTGGTTATCTTTAACCTTCTCTCTTGTGACCAACTACGACTCTCATGGCCTGGTTATCTTTAACTTTCTCTCTTGTGACCAACTACGACTCTCATGGCCTAGTTATCTTTAACCTTCTCTCTTGTGACCAACTACGACTCTCATGGCCTGGTTATCTTTAACTTTCTCTCTTGTGACCAACTGCGACTCTCATGGCCTAGTTATCTTTAACCTTCTCTCTTGTGACCAACTACGACTCTCATGGCCTGGTTATCTTTAACCTTCTCTCTTGTGACCAACTACGACTCTCATGGCCTGGTTATCTTTAACCTTCTCTCTTGTGACCAACTACGACTCTCATGGCCTGGTTATCTTTAACCTTCTCTCTTGTGACCAACTACGACTCTCATGGCCTGGTTATCTTTAACCTTCTCTCTTGTGACCAACTACGACTCTCATGGCCTAGTTATCTTTAACCTTCTCTCTTGTGACCAACTACGACTCTCATGGCCTGGTTATCTTTAACCTTCTCTCTTGTGACCAACTACGACTCTCATGGCCTGGTTATCTTTAACCTTCTCTCTTGTGACCAACTACGACTCTCATGGCCTGGCTATCTTTAACCTTCTCTCTTGTGACCAACTACGACTCTCATGGCCTGGTTATCTTTAACCTTCTCTCTTGTGACCAACTACGACTCTCATGGCCTGGTTATCTTTAACCTTCTCTCTTGTGACCAACTACGACTCTCATGGCCTAGTTATCTTTAACCTTCTCTCTTGTGACCAACTACGACTCTCATCGCCTGGTTATCTTTAACCTTCTCTCTTGTGACCAACTACGACTCTCATGGCCTAGTTATCTTTAACCTTCTCTCTTGTGACCAACTACGACTCTCATGGCCTGGTTATCTTTAACCTTCTCTCTTGTGACCAACTACGACTCTCATGGCCATGGCTTATTCCATCCTATAGGTAACATAAAACAAATGTGAATGTCCCCACAGTTTTTTTATAGGGTATTTCATTCATAAAATGCATGTACAATGGGACAGCGAAAGCTTCACCTTCCTTTCTATTCAATGTTATTTACTATTATTTTAGTGCTTTGTTGGGAAATAAAGTACAAAAAACAAAAACAAACATCCAATTATTTCTCAAGAATCTTTAGCTATCCTGTATTTTTGCTTTTATTTCATGGTCCCATAGCAGGGGCGACTCTGCATTTGGGAAAAGCTGGCTTATAGTATTGTTTGCAAATAAGTCCTGAAGCAAAAAAATGACAATTGAAGAAAACATAAAATGTGAGGTAACGGCGTTTAATAAAATGTAACAAAAATACTTTTTATTAAAACAATTAAGTTTTACATTTAAAACTATTCTTTCCTGGTCATCAAAGATTTATTTATAAAACTCTAAAATGTATAAATCAAAGAATGATTGATAGAAATCTGTAAAGCTGCAAATATCTTTATATAAATGCATAAAATATAAAAACTTATGCTTGTAGAAAATTTTTGCTTGAGATATTTAACTTTTTAAATCTATAAACATGTATCTCATAAACTTTAATATATATTATGTGTTAAAACAATATAAGTAAAAAAAAAAAGTCTCATGAATGTTTAAAAAAACTTCCTTATAATATGAATACCACAATAATAATTTTTACAATTTACAATCATAAAAATTATACAATCAACTTTTTGTTTAATAAAATAATGCATTTCTGTAAGTTGGCTATCATCAAGGTGCCTGTATCTATTCAGTGTGTCTTTATGACTTTATGGTTAGACTTTAAAGTTATTTAACAAAAAATATCAATCAGCATCTATTTTCTAGCTAAGATTTAAAAAAATCTAGTGATGAATAATAAATAATAATAAACCCAATCATATCTCTCTTTTAAATATTACACAAAAAACACATATTCCAATTAACATGAATTATTAACAAAGCTGTATGTAAAAAAAACAGACTTATTTGACCACATCTGTGTTTTAATTAAAAGAAGTTCATTAACAAAAAATATATTTGAATTAGATAATATTTTTATAAATACAAAGGGGAATATTAGTGGATTTGTTTGTTCGGCATATGTTTCTATTTGTTTTGATGGATCTTGACTAAACTTGGCACATATATCCATCATTATCCAGAATAAAATACTGGGGGTTTTGAGCTTTAAAAAATAATCCATTTGTGGTGGGGGGGGGGGGTCCCTAATTCCATAGTTTCCTTTTTTGCGCTTTGTAAATTAGATTAAAAAAATTTGTTCGGCATATTTTTATATTTGTTTTTATGGATCTTGAATAAACTTGGCACATATATACAACATTATCCAGAATAAAATACTGGGGGTTTTGAGCTTTAAAAAATAATCCATTTGTGGTGGGGGGGGGGGTCCCTAATTCCATAGTTTCCTTTTATGCGCTATGTAAATTAGATTAAAAAATATGCTATTGCATATGTGGATGAATCTAGACCAGACTTAGTACACATACACTTCATTATCCATATTTAAATGCTGAATGTTAGTGAACTCATTATATCCACTTATAAGCTTTATAAATACCAGTAGGCTTAGACTTACACATTAATATCGGGTTCTATGTGAATTTAGGCCAAGCTCGGTAGCCATACCCTGCATAGTCCATATTGAAATATCGGTGGCTATTAGCATAATAATATCCACTAAATTTGGGGCTGGTCTAGAATTTTCCAGAAAGTTTGATAAGTTAAAAGGAAACATCTCTGGCATCTAACTAAATGGGATCTCTATGGGGAACGGGATTCCTATGGGGAACAGGATCCCACCGGGGAATAGGATCCCTTTGGAATCCTTTTTTATTTCAATTGATAAATGGCGACAGCCTTGACACCAATGAATACTTTTTAATGGGAGAACTTTTAAAAGTTTTGATAAAACTTTAAATCATGGTTTTTGACTAGGCCAAAATATTAATGCTAGCTAAAAGGCTGTGGAAGTATTTTTCGAATGGGATCGCGGCTAACAACGGGAATATTGGCAAGTTATTAATAGATATGATTTGTATCACTGACATTTATTCCCATAATTATGACTTGTAAAAACAAAGCTGCATGTCAATATGTTTTTTTACTTATACCATGTAAGTCCATATGTTTTGGTGACTTATTTGACCAAATATGTGTTTTATTTAAGGGGTCATCCATATAGTACGTACACACTGAGGAGGGAGAGTTGTTGTTTTTGGATATTGTGTGTACACAACTTCTGCAATAAAGATCTTGAAAATCTGAAACTCCATAAACAGCACATTTTTATCTCTAACTCTAATGCTGTAAAAATATCACCCAATGTGTTGTAGGAATTATTGTCACAATGTTGGCTTGCATTATCACAAGACTTGTGAACTAACTAGATGTCGCTCTTGCTGTACTCAGTAGTCCCATAGAAGTAGTAACAGATATATTTAGTCCACTCTATGTTTCCACGTGCATGTGACATTTTGTTTGGGCTATTAAAAGATCTGAAGCAGGCATTTTTTTTGGGCAGAACTCAGACAAAATTAAAAAGGGAGGGATGGTTGAGGGGGGTGCTAAGTGTTAATAGAAATGTGTTTACTATAGTTACCAACCCATTTTTATTAACTAGGTATTAGAAATGCATGTACCAGTAACAAAGCTGTGTGAGAGTGGGGCAACATAGCTGTTGTAGAGTGGGGCAAAATAGCTGGCAGAAAAGTGGGGGTGACATAGCTGTTAGAAGAGTGAACTACCTGCTTGGTAGAAGAGTGGGGGAAAGATAGCTGTAAAAGAGTGGGGTAAGAGATCTGATATAAGTGAATAAAAGTGGAGCAGCATAGCAGGTAACATAACTGTAGAAGAGTGGGGCAACATAGCTGGTAGAGAATATGGCGTCAAATTATATATGAAATCAATGTACGTATGCATGGGGGATGGTAAAAAAAATGTGTGCAACATTGGGGAAAGGGGGGGGGGGGCGGGTTCACAATATAGATGGCCCAAAGAGAAGAGCACTGACACATACATCCATAGCTACAAATAGGAGCCAGAATGATCAATTCATTGATCGTGGGCCCTTAAAATAAAGAAGAAGAAGAAGAAGAAGAAATTGTTTTTAATATTAACGGGAACTACGTATAACAAGAACTTTATTTCATTTTTAAAAATACAATAACACGTAAGAAAACATATAGTCATTTACAAATATATAAAATAATATTGACAAAATGTAGATTTGATATGATGACAATAATAAGCAAAATCATATCATACAAAGTAAGAAAATATAGCTGGTAGAAGAATGGGGGCAATATTGCTGTAAATTAATTTTGTAAAATAGAAATGTATACATCATTATATGCATTAGGATTTTTAGAGAAATTTAACTTTTTATTCTATTAAAAAAATAGAAACAAAGAATACTGAAATACATTTAAATGACTATGATATAAATGTTAAATTTATTCTCAAAATATTTTGGAACATATATGGTAAAACTAAAGACATTTTTGTTTATTTTGAAACCAAAAATAAAAAAGATTTGTAAAGAATAAACAAATTTAATTTTGTTTGCATTCCTATTAATTGTATTTGTAAAAAAAAATCCCATCTACTTTGTATCTCTTTTTTTTTAATAAAACAACAAACCAAAAACAAACACCCCCCAACACAACGCCCCCCACCCCCCCCGCCACCCCAATGTTAAAGAAAAAAAAAAGTTTCTCCAAGGATTTATTTGTCTGCATTGGGAGATATCTTAATGCATAATTATATTAAATCCCATTCAAATGTTCCACTAGTGCATATCTCTCAGACATATAAAGCCCATAAACTTAAACCCACACAATTGGATTTAATTTAAAATAATTCACTTCAAAATGATGAGAGTCCATGGCATCAAATTATGATCATAGCCTTGATTTCTGCCTCACCTCCAATCAGGAATGCAATATCTCTTTTAAACTTGAACAAATGAATTTATTTTTTTTATTCCATAAAGTAGGGTGAAAGAGGGTTGCATCCTGTTGGAAACAGAAGAGAAATTACATAAATGTACACTCCAAAATACAAGTTGTGTGAGCCAGATAATTCATCTTACACTTATTAAAAGAGGTACATCCAGATAAGCACTGTAAGGCAGTGCTATCCTAATAATGGTGAAAGGATTACTTTATGGAGGGGTAGTAGGTCTGATTGTGAAGCCGTCAAAACCTTAAATCAATATTTGGTCTCCACATGGTGCTCACTTACCACCTGTGGCTCCAAAAAGCTGTATAATGCACAACGGCCACACCGCAGAAAAAATCTTCGACTAGCCATCAAAACCAAATCTTCGGTAAAAAGGAGTTGTCCTCCTCAGCATGGGAAAACTGTATCCGGTGGATTGCACGAAGGAAGCACTAGTTGGTCAAAAGGCAGCAACGTGATGTGAATTGTTCAGAGCATGGCAAGACATGTAGAAAGCCAAGGTCATTCACTGTACCCAATCACATCCCCAGCCTTCTGGGCCTTGTCTTGCTGCTGGACACAGATGGCGTTGGGGGAGAGAGTGAGGTCGAAAACTCATGCAACTCGTCCCCACTTTAATCCAAGTCACAGCGCAAGTCATTTTAAACATACATCCATCCTAGTTTTTCATTATCTACAAAGTCATTTGGCGACGGGTATGTGGCAAAGTGGGAGGTGCGGGTAAACTGCCACAGGTAAGCACAAACCTGCACATAGGCGGTTAAGGCCATCGGGTCATTCATTATTGTAAAGGAGCAGTAGTGGTGTCTGGAAGCCCCCTAAGTCACTGAGCAGCCCTCATTAGGAACACACTGCTCACCTCCATGGCATGAGGAAAGGGCTAGAAAAGGTGCCCTAAATATTGTCTGCTTCCTTAAACAGCCTACTGCAGTTGATGGGGGACCCAATCTATACAGCCAAAATTTTTAAAAATCAAAACCAAATATTCTAACAATCCCTCTAAAAATTGGTGCCTTGAATGTGGGCAGTCTTCAGGACAATGATGACGTGGATAGACCGCAGAGGAGAACAGCCCTTAAAGGAATTTAACAAGCCAGGTTCAAGATAGACATTGCAGCCCTTAGCGAGACCTGGCTGGCATGGAAGGGTAAACTCCTTCTTTTGAAGTGGGAGAGGAAGTGAAGACTGTTGTGAGGCTGGTGTTGGTTTTTCTGTCATATCTGCATGGATTAGCATGCTGTCTGGACTTGGAAGTGGAGTCAACAGGAGGATAATGACAATGAAACTTGCTCTCTCATCTGGAAGAAAACAACTCACCATCATCAGCTGCTATGCTCCAACAATGACCAACACAGATGATGTAAAGACCAAGTTCTATGAGGATCTTCACTCTGTCATAGCTGATGTTCAGAAGCAGGACAAGTTCATAATTCTTGGTGATTTGAATGCTTGAGTGGGCCGTGATCAAATCCCCTAGAATGGTGTACTGGGAAAGCATAGATTTGGCCATTGCAACAGTAACAGTCTCCTTGTGCTCAAGACTTATGCTGAGATTCAAATGCTGATGACTAATACAGTCTTTTGCCTTCCGACGCATAATCAGACATCCTGGATGTACCCTCGCTCAAATAAATTGGCATCTTATCGACTATGTTCTCATCAGGAGAAAAGACAGCAGGGATGTGCCAAGTCTGTATGTGGTGGCAACAGCTGGACAGATCATCATCTCAAGGTCAACCTTCACTTACAACCCAAGATGACTACAGGGGAAGAAGATTCCCAAACGTCTGATCATGACAAAGTTAAAGACCCAGGCTATCAATAAAACATTTGGGGATCCTCTGGTAGAATGTCTGACATCCAAATCTCTAGATAATCACAATGTCAAATTGGATTGGGCAATTAGAGCAATGCTGTATAACACCACTATGGAGTTTCAGGGACCAAGTCCCAAAAAACACCAGGACTGGTTCCATGAAAACGGTATGGTAATCAAACAGCTGCTGGAGGAAAACCCTTGTCTTCACAACTCCTATATGCACAACCTGAATTCAATTCCCAGAAAAGAGGCATACAACAACATAAGAAGAACGGGGCGGCAAAAGCTACTTCATATGCAGGATAAATGATTGAGTGACAAGGCTGATGCGATCCAGGGCTATGCTGAAAGACATGGTCTGAGAAATTTCTACTCCGCTCTCAAAGACGTTTGCAGCTCCACTTCATCAGGATCATTCCCCACTTCTGAGTGCTCAAGAGAAAACTATGATTACTGAGAAAGAAAAAAATTATCATTTCCTAAATGATCAAACTACATCCATCAATGACGGAGCCATAAATCGACTCTTGCAGGTGCCCATCAATAAAAAAATGGAAGGGCCCCCCCCCCCCCCATGTGACGCAACAAGCTATATACCTTAACTTGAGTGGCAAAGTTGCAGGTGATGTCTATATCCCAGCTGAAATTGACAAGAAAGGTGGCAAAGTTCCAACTGAAAGACTTCAGCAGCTCTTCTTCTTCTTCTTCTTTATTTTGAGGGCCCACGATCAATGAATTGATCATTCTGGCTCCTATGTTTCAGAGGGGTTCGCGATGTTACTGTTCATGGGTTTCAAGGGGATACTTCACTGGTTGCTAGGGCTACTCAGCAGTGGTGTTAAGAACTGGGGGTTGCAATACAGGAGGCAATAGACACAAATGTGTCGAGTGTAGGCGCCTCAACTGTTGCTTTTGGAAGCTTGTTCCAGTCCCCTATTGTATTCGGCAGGAATGAGGAGCTCCTGTATTTTGTTCTTGTTTTTACCAGCCGGAACTGTCTGTCGTGGCCTCATCGCTGTCTAGGGGGAAGATGAACGAGTTTCTGCTTGATTCCCGAGCAGTGGACCAGCCCATTTTTGATCTTATACAACATGGTGAGCCTGGATAGTCGTCGTCGTTCTTCCAATGTTGACCAGCCCAGTGTTATTAGCATGCTGCCAACACTTGAGGTGTTTCTGTAGCGGTTCATGACAAAGCGTGCTGCCCGTCGCTGGACAGCCTCCAACCTGTCGATGCTTTTCTGGGTAAATGGGTCCCAGACTGTAGAAGCGTACTCTAAAATAGGCCGGACAAAGGCTTTATAGGCTTTTTCTTTCACGCTCGAGTTGCTGATCTTCAGATTGTGTCTTAGGAACCCCAGGGTCTTGTTTGCCCGGTTGCACACACTGTTAATGTGCTCGTCCCAGCGGACCTCTCTTTGAATGGTAACACCCAGATACTTTACGGAGGAAACTGGCTCAAGAATATGGCCATGCAGTTTGTAAAGAGTGGTTTAGAGGGGATCTGCTTCTGGAGACTGACAGGGTCTGGCACTTGATGGGATGAAATTCCATGTCCCAGCTCATTTCCCACTCAGCTAACCGATTGAGGGCTTGTTGAAGCTGGCTCTGGTCAGAGCTGTTGACGATTGTCCTGTACACCGCCGTGTCGTCTGCGAACAGTCTTGCTTGAGAGGTCAGCTTCTCGGGCAGATCATTGATATATGCTAGGAACAAACAAGGGCCTAGCACTGAGCCCTGGGGGACTCCTGACTTAACACCGACAAAGGAGGAGGTTTTGCCATCTACCACTACTGCCTGGCATTGGTCGCTGAGGAAGCTAGAGATCCATGTTTTGGTAGTGCCTTGGATCCCATATCTCTGCAGTTTGTGTAATAGCAAGCTATGGTTGACACGGTCAAACGCTTTTGAAAAGTCCAGCACAAGCACATCAGTTTGCTTGCTGTTCTCCAAGTTGGTTGTCAATTCTTCAGCAAATTCAAGGAGTTGGGTCTCGCATGATCTGTTAACTCGAAAGCCATGCTGACAGTCATTGAGTATATTGTGTCTTTTCAAGTGATTCATGACCGCGCTTACGATTATGTGCTCCAATAATTTACATACTACGCTAGTGAGGGAACAGGGCGGTAATTGGCTGGGTCGTAATGCTCTCCTTTTTTGTAGATTGGAGTGACATTCGCTGCTCTCCAGTCAGTTGGAACGCTGCCTGTGAATAGCGACGATTGGAAGAGGATTGTTAGTGCAGGAGCGATTTCATTGGCCAATTCTTTTAGCACTCGTGGTTTGATGTTGTCAGGACCACATGGCTTGTAGGGCTCAATGGTTTTAAGGAGTTCCAGCACACCCTTCTCTGAAATCTGGATATCTTCCATGGCGGGGTAGGCTGCGCTCATCATGTTGGTCTTCAGAAGGAACTCAACTTCTGAGTACTCTCTACCATCCCCAAAGACCGATTGGAACTGTTGATTGAGTATGTCCCCCTGTTCTTTGGGTTCAGACGTCAACTTGCCTTCCCATCTCAGGGGGGAAACCCTGATGTTTGTTCCTACTTATGAGGCAGCAAGAGACAAAACCACAGGATTTCAAAGATGCATCCGGTGTTCACTTGTACAAACGTTAAGGGAACCATCAATGCTAAGTACAACTACCGTGGCAGTGAAATCTCTCCACATTTTCTCATTTTGGAATGTTTCTCTTAAAATTTGTTGTTCCTGGATAGTTGGATATTGTTTAGTACCTAAACTTTTCACTCATAACAATCAACCAGGGTATCGCGGATAAAGAAATAGGACTACATCACTCACTTCTGCGAGATCTCATCAGCTGCATAGATGGATTAGATTTAAGAACACCAGAGCGCAGTGAACTATAGCGCTATCTCTGAAATCCTGCAGGAACATCAATTGCTACCACATTAGTAGAAACAGATGGTGGGGCCATGCAGAACTGCAGCCCCTTCTTTGTAGAATTCAGCTGGGATGGAGTCTACACTTGTAGCTTTGCAATGGCTTGAGATATTGCATATTTCTTCCAGTATCTTCATCAAGGAAGGGGTACCTGTCTTACTGAGTGTATTCTCTTTCAAAAGTCACTGACAAAGGCGTTGTCTCAATTAAAGTCTGTAAATCCATCAATATGATTTAGTGTGCTTCGTGCCTTTGGAGATGAAGCGTGATATTTAAATAAACTTTATTATTATTGTATCTTTGCTCTCCTATGCAGGTAAGATACTTGCTACAATCCTTTTAAACTATCTCAATTCCCATCTTGAGAAGGTTCTGTCGCCAAAAGGTCAATGTGGTTTTCATAAAGAGCGTGGACATATTATAAAGTGTCAGGAACAGAATGTTGACTTCTTCTCCACTTATGTAGACCTAACAGAGGCTTTGGACACTTTTAGTAGAGACGGTCTCTGGAAGATTAGGCCTGATCAGCCATCTGTGCGCCCACAGACAGATTCAGCCCCAGCGCCAATCTGGTGTTTAAAATGGTCCATTTTTGACTGACAAACACATATGTTAAGGAAGTGCAATCCTGATAAAGGAGTGTGTGATTTTGATTATATGACAAGAATATCTATCAAAAACACAAGTTTATGTGCTGTATCTTCTTTCTTGAAAAGCTTGGGCAGTAAGTAGCATACAATTAAAATAAATGAACTCCTTTCAATCAGTTTAAAACAGGAAATAAAGAACTAAGAAAACCATTTTGACAGCTTATAGACACATACATTGTCACATTTATTTTATTTGTCTTACCTGACAGTCATGTCCAATGACTTAAGGTGAATTACTTCACCATCTATGTCAACAAGATGCTCTAACGCTATTTTCCTAGCTCTTGCTCCAGAAATTCTTTCACTGCCACCTTGCTCATCTCTCAGAACTTTGATCCTAAAGTCTGTGACCCTGTCTATGAACTCCAGATTTGATGAAGTGGACTGCAAATAAATTTAACAGAAATGAATATTTATACTTTTTAAAAAGTTATCTGTAAAATATTGTTTTAAGTCAACAAACTTTGACACAGAACAAGACAAGTTACTTCAGTTTAAAGAATATAATGAACACTGTTATCACCAAATCCTTTAAATTGCTTAACATAAAATCTAGATGTGTTTAAACCATTGATTGGCACATTTTTAACTCACATTTCTTTTCTTGCCTAATGAAAGATCCATGAAACTTTTAAATATTGCCACATGGCTACATCCTGATCCAACTACAAGCATTACATGGCTACCAAATGGATCAAGAATGTTGTGGTCACCAGCATCTACCAGCTCACATGGAACAGTATAAATGCAGTTGTAGTTCTTGGTTTCATTTTTGTGGGTTATCCATTCTGAAAGATATATATTTTCAAGGGTTGTTTTGTCTTTTGTTTAGATTAATTCAAACTTTCCCATTCTATTGTTAAAATGTTTAAAAATTGTTGAATAATTCGTTCCATTGTTAGATGTTTAAAAATTGTTGACTGTCACGTTCAGATCGCGTGAGTTTTCTGTGTCAACTTCTATAATGTTAATTTGACCAATCGTGGGTGAGTTTATTTTCCCCGTGTGCCCCACGAGTTTTTATTTTTCTCGGTCAAGGTATGACCGGTGGGCTGTGTCGGGAGGAACCACGTGTGTGAGTAGAGTTTTGAGGGAGTGAACAGTGGCGAGTGCTGTGGATAGGGTGTATGATTTTTTGTCTTGAAAAGGCAGTGAGTTTTTTCTACGGATGGAAGAGGACTTGTGTAACTTGAACTGTTTTGTGTAGTGGCATATAGGCACACATAGCCAATAAATAAGAAAACCTGAAACCCTGAATTGTTTGTTGATACTTGGAGCAAGAGTCAGCTCTGTAGGAGCTGGAAATAAAGGGGTTCTAGACCCTTGTAAAATTGTTCTGTGGCTAGTACAGAGGGGANTCCCAGCCCATCACCAGCCACAAGGAAGGCTGTCGAAGCAGCCATTTCAAGCATAATCATCCATCACAATGGAGTAGCCATCTAAACCTGCCATTCGCCGTCGTTGTGGCACATCAAAGCAACCATCTAAGCCTACCATCAGCCAAAGGGGAGGCCGTTCTATGCAGCCATATCAACCCTAAACATCCACCACAGTGGAGCAGCCATCTAAGCCCGCAATTTTCCACAAACCATAGCAGACCATCCACCACAGTGGAGGCCGTTAAAGCAACATCATATCGTCCATAGAACCCTACCAGCCTACCATTCATCACAGAGGGAGCCTGACCAACCAGCGACACCAGCACGTCAAAACAATCATCACGGCCATACCAGTCCATAGGAAAGCCGTGCAAACTAGCCAGACAGCTATACCAATCTTAACTTTTGTCACATTGGATTATTGGAGACACCAGACATTCCAACAGTATCTAACTACGAGAATACACATGAACACATGGATTATACTTCTCAATACGTCCGAAATCCCAGTGCCACCCATCAAGAGAGAAATCACAAGTAATTATTTTAAGTAAATTATTTAGTTATTACATTTGCAATTTCTATTGTTTTATTACTCATTTCATTTTATCCATTTTCTATTTGTAAATTTTTTGTAAACATATATATTGACATAAGACTTAGATATAAAAATGTCGTTACCTACTAGTGCCGAAATTAAACAAATGGCAATAGATTTGGGATTAGAAGGGGAGGAAGCGAAAGAATGGGTAGCTAATAGGGAACAAGAGGTTCGCGAAGAAGAAGAAATAATTCGCGCAGAAGAAGAAGAAATTCGCGCATATGAGCGAGAAGAAAAAGAAAGAATCAAAGAACATGAGAGAAAAATGTCTGGGTATAGTGCTTGTACACTAACTGGAACTGAAAGGGGACAATTTTCTCTGGATGATAAGGAAAATGAGGGCAATATACACGGAGACATGGCCTTAAGTGTAAAACCGATTGTGGATCAACAGGGACAAGACAGTTTGAAAGTGGGAGTAGACATACGCCAGAAAGAGAAATCTATGTGGGAAATCAGAGAAGAATGTGTCAGATGGATATATGCTTATAGGCCACCAGAATCTGTGGTGAGAAAAATTTATCAGCAATTAAGTTCTAACATACCTTTTGACCTAAACACCTTTAAGGAATATAAAATTACTAATGAAGAACATAGTCACGTGACTAAAGATCCTGACATAACGTCGAATTGTTTGGACGAGGGTCCAAGCATTACTCAAAGTAAAGTTGATGAGAAAGCTTTTAAAGAAATCAAGCGGGAGGGGGCCTTTAGAAATAGTTATGGGAAATATAGAGCGAGGAAATATACTAAGGTAGAAGTTAGTGGGAATGAGCTTAGATGGTGTCGAGAGAACAAATCTTGGGTAAGGCTGTCAGAAACTAAAAATCCAAATGTAGAAAGGGGCAGTATCAATACTAGGAAAAATGATGAATCGGAATTTTTTCAGTTTGGTATAGTTGATGAATATTTTGAAGACACCAAAACAAGAGAAAATAAGTTGGATAATGTGGATAAACAGGACGAATGTGATGATGTGCAGAATGGCTATCGCCCTTGCACCAGTAGTGAACCTAGTGGTATTAATGTTTCATTTGGGGACTTTGATAATAATATTGATTATGAGCACAGCGTTGTTGATGCTTTGGATGATTGTTTTGATTGGGATATTAATTATGAACCCAGTGTAGATGGTTCAGATGGAAATTTTGATAAAAATATTGATAATGAACATAGTGTTGTTGATTCCTCTAGTGATGGTTTTGATTGTTTTATGGCTTATGAACCCAAAGTAGATGATTTTAATGATATTTTTTATTGTGAGCCTAGTATTGCTGATGTTTCACATATTGATGTTGATAGAGTGACTGAGGTTTGTAGTTTGTTTGATGGTAATATTGATTATGAACCCAGAGAAGTTGTTTGTGATAAGAATATTGTTTATGAACATAGTGTTACGGATACTTTACTTATTGATGTTAAGAGAGTGACTGAGGTTTGTAGGGTGCCGGAGGCTTTTGATGGCACACTTATGGCTTTTGATGGCACACTCATGGCTTTTGATAACACACCCACGGGTGTTGAAGACATGAACCACCTTCCGCTTCCACGCAAGCAAGGGGTCATGATCACGAGCATGAACCACCTTCCGCTTCCACGCAAGCAAGGGGTCATGATCACAGGCATGAACCACCTTCCGCTTCCATGCAAGCAAGGGGTCATGATTATATGGGGGACAAGCTGGGGTAACCACGAAGTAGAGACCGTAACCTTGACCAGAGCGGTGACCACTAGATGTCGCCAGGTTGAACCTGCGACAGAGTTCACCGACACTCCTGAGTCAAGCTCATGTGTGTTGTTATGTTTTGAGGAGGAGGGGAGATCGCATTTTTTGACTGCTCCTGAGTTTAACTCAGTTATTTTTGAACATGTCACAGTTGACAGAGACTGTGAAGTGTTTCCATCTAGAGGCGATGGGAAAATTGAGTTGAATAAATTTGACACGTCTAACAATGTAACACGTGTTTTGCTTTTCAACAATGATGGTATTTGTTACAAAGGAGGAGGGACAGCTTGGGGGCAAGCCAAACGGTCTTGGGGTGTAAGGGACTTGTTGGGTGAATTCGTGCCTACTAGACCGTGCAGGTCAAACCCGAGAAGAGAGAGGGGTGAGTTGGGCGGATCAAATAACCTCCATGATTTTTTAAGACAAGGGGATAAGCGAAACATTCCACCGTCTTGTATGTAAACATTGAAGGGACAATTCATGGCTGTCCACACATGCTCAGATGTTGACATTTGTTTTTCTTCACTTTTTCATTTTTGAATTAAGATTTTTCAAAATCATGTGATGTAAACATTTAAATATTTGTTACAATGTATTAAAATAAATGCTCAATTTCATTGTAGGAAAATATTGAGATGATAAAGAATAGTAATTATTTTATCTATTACCATGTATGTTTCATTAGAGATGTCTTAATTCTACAATGCATTGCCATAACAATAGTAGTGACTTTCAAAGTATGATTGATAGCGCATTGTTTTAAGATAGACCTTTCATGAGAAAAATTACTAAAATAACCATATGTTTTATGCTATAAATATTGATGTCAGTTTACAAGAATATGCACGCGAACTGACCGCTGTTTTGTAAACTCGCAACATTGGGTTTCACCAAACGTCACTCGTGAGGGGGGGCGTGTCACGTTCAGATCGCGTGAGTTTTCTGTGTCAACTTCTATAATGTTAATTTGACCAATCGTGGGTGAGTTTATTTTCCCCGTGTGCCCCACGAGTTTTTATTTTTCTCGGTCAAGGTATGACCGGTGGGCTGTGTCGGGAGGAACCACGTGTGAGTAGAGTTTTGAGGGAGTGAACAGTGGCGAGTGCTGTGGATAGGGTGTATGATTTTTTGTCTTGAAAAGGCAGTGAGTTTTTTCTACGGATGGAAGAGGACTTGTGTAACTTTAACTGTTTTGTGTAGTGGCATATAGGCACACATAGCCAATAAATAAGAAAACCTGAAACCCTGAATTGTTTGTTGATACTTGGAGCAAGAGTCAGCTCTGTAGGAGCTGGAAATAAAGGGGTTCTAGACCCTTGTAAAATTGTTCTGTGGCTAGTACAGAGGGGACCGACCCCTAGACAACGTACGTCACGTCACATTGACTAGATTACTCTTATCACACTATAGCATCACTTTTTCAAAATTCAGTTTTAATTTTACCTGATTTTTGCTGCTCACCTTGCCCATTCCTTTCCCTAAATAAAAAAAATAAACAGACAGAAAAATATTGGAATTGCTAACCTATCAGATTAAAATTATTAAAAACCTACTACATTTTGCTAAAATATGACATTAAAAACATTAGCCAAAAGGTGATTCAAACAAAATCTAGATCTACATCTATGTTAGATGTGACATCTAATTGGTCTTATAATAACAAAAAAGAAAACTAAAAAATGTAAAAATACCTGGCATCTTCATCCTCTAACTTTAAGCGATACTGAAGTTCAGCTTGAAAGAGCCTCCTCTTTTTAAAAAGCATACCAATGAGAGCATCTGTAATTGTAAACATGATTAGCTCAGTAAGTATCAAATGAGCTATTTAATTGGATAACATTTAACAGTTACTTGAATTTTTTTTAAAAGATCCTTTTCAATAAAATGTTTCTATTATTAGAAAATTATACTGGTACAATCTTGTATGACAAGGCTAAGGAGCCAAAGAACTCTAATATCTAAAAAAAATTATGCATCACAATATATTTATTTAATGGTATTTGATCAAATTAAATGCTAATTTATAAATTGTTTACATGGATATCTGGCTCGTTTCATCCATCTCAACTCTTCTGTTCTTTTGATCATGTCAGAGAACATCCCATAGGAAAATATTAAAGCAGAAACGCACAAAAATTCAGAGCCACTGTGTACAATAAAAATCTGACCTCTGTGCTGTTCACCTAAATATATTTAGCAGATGTTATAAAAACTACAAGGGTATAATGCAAATAAATATCTATGTATGTAAATAATTGTCAAAAGAAAAAAAAAATGAGAAAAATATTTTTTTAATAAAATCAATTTAAATTGGTTGAAAAATTGACCAAAAAAATAGAAAAATTTAATTTATAATTATTCATTAAAATTTATTGGATCAGTCAAATTTACAATAAATAACAAATTTTAAATGGATGAATGGATTTTACCTCTTATAATGGAATTTACCTCTTATAATGTTAAGTACTGCTGTCTCAGCATGGTTAACTCCATTGACTAAACCTGTGGCACCATTCCCTGTTCCTATGTAATTTAGAAAAGTTAGAGACACATACATTTTATTAATATAGTTTATTCATCATTGTAAATAAAATCTCACAAATGCTTCAGATAATTTTTATAAATAATTAATTATTACTGGCCATGTTTTTTTTTAAAATCTTGGTAAAATGGAAATTTGTCTTCATATAGTTATTTAACCTAGTATATTTGCCTACTTGATAAAAGAAATGCACACCATCCCTCAAAACTAATAATCAATTCTATAACACATTTTTGTCCAAAAACATATAATTAATACATTATTAATTTTCTGTTCCTGATAGAATTATATAAAATTGTAATCATTATTTGAACACAAAAATGCATCAATGGATAGTTGGGAAACTATTGGCAGGTTAGCAATATTTTACTTTTTTGTACCAGCAGGTATTATTCCAATGGGTATATTGAGTTTTGAGAGTTCTGCATTTGGATCATCATAATTGATTCCAGATTTCTTTTGTGTCTGTATTGTGAGACCCTGGAGAAATTCCTGGTACAGTCCATCTCCACCAACTATGACAATGCTGTAGTTTAGATATTTAAAGAAAAGAAAATGTACTGAAAAATTTGTTCACCAAAAATAAGAAAATATTACAAATAAATCAAATATTAAAAATTAGGGGATGTATAAAATGTCATCCAGGACTAAATGTAAGATTCTTTATATGTTACAATATGGTAAGTGTACAGTAAAAATAGTTTACCCATCATAATGAGAAAAATCATGAGTTTCTCCAATTTCCAGCGCATGTTTAGATTTTTCTGTCACTGACAAAAATAGAATTGAGAACTGCATGAGTTCACAAAATTGTTTTTGACCAACACTTTCTTCAAACAGTTCATAAGTTTATATATTTTATATATAAAAAATTTGGGCATGATAAAAGTGTTGGCCATTTTGAAAGACATAAAGCAAAATAAAAAAAACATACCAACAACATGGGTTTCCACTGACGCAAGCTTAAATAATGACTCTGCAGCTTTCTGATAAATGTGTCTCCCTCTACCAGCACCACCAATTGGATTAATCAAAACAAATAATTTCTTGGGACGGCCAACCACTGGTTTAGAGAAGAAAAAAAAGCAAGTGTTGTAGAAAATTAAAGAAAACATATCATGTTTTAAAACGCGTCACCAAAGCAAGATTAAAAATTTGTCTCCTTTTATTTATTAGATAATTTATCTTTTAAAGAAAGCCCTTAAAAAATATTAAAGTTTTTCCTTTTAGTATTATAAAGTAAGCTTTCTAAAAAATTTTTAAAAATTAATTCACCTTTTGAACATTGCTCTTGAATAGCAGTAATCAGTCTATCAGAGTTTCCATTATTATCATGAACTTTCAAACATCTGTGATGTAAGATAGATTTAGAGCCATGGTGAATATAATTCAGGATCCAGAGGGTTTTCTTTCCTGTACTTTTGGGATCTTTTGATGCACTTATCACATCTCTCCACTCTAGAAATCGACCTGGAATAGAGAAGGGAAACATCATTATTCCTTAGCTTTAATATTTTGAACTCACTTATTTGTAAATGTAAAATAATACAATTTTAACTTTCATAAACAAAGTTGATCTTTATAATATCAGTTATGAAAACTAGTTACAAAATTTGTATTAATATAAGAGACTGACAAGATTGAGCTATGTAATAGTTGTACCTATATTTGCTTCCTCCTTTTTACTTATTTTGTCTTTGAGATTAATCAGTTTAATCCCATTTGCGATCAACACCATTTGAGTATCCTTTCCGGCAACATTGACAATATCATCAAAAATTACTGCATCAGAATCTGATTTAATGATACTTTCTGTTTCCAAATCACCCATCTTGTTATTTTCTATAAAGAATATATCTTTTTTTATAGCATTCTCCCTTTCACAACTTGGTAAGGAATATTCATGGATTTAAAATTCTGAAGAAGGTAAAATGTCATACATTATTTACAGTGGAAGTTAAGAATGAAACAATGATGAAAATATAAATATTTTTTGTGCTAAACACTTGATAAAAAAAAAAGTAGTAGATTTTTTAGTAATTTTAATCTGATGGGGTTGCAATTCCAAACTTTTCACTTCAGTTTGGGAAGGATCTGCTAGATTTAAGCAGTTCCATTTTCAATGCAAACATTTTTTTTAAAAAATTAGTGCTTTGTTGAAAACTGACTTTTCTACTGAACAGTTGAAGAAGATAAGTTTATTGATTTTTTTCAAATCAACTCAAATTCATATCTCTATGTGATTGCCTTCTAATGAAAATGATTACAAACAAATATGTATTAGACTAATTCCAAAATGGTAAAAATTGTCTGCAGCAATTGGCCACCTGTTACTTTTCAGCTCTTCCGTACTGTATTTGTACAGTCGAACCTCAAATAACAAGATAAGTGAGCAATTTTTGTCTCGCTTAACTAACAATAATTCAGGTTACAAACATATGCATACTTCTGTACACAAAATACCACAGGCTCAGTAGTGCTGTGATAAAAAGACACTACATTTTGTTACTTTTGCACTTTTTGTGTTATATTACCTGATAATGGCAATTAAATAGAAAAGAGTTATTAATATGAATTGTGTTAGTGTGGAACTAAAGAAATAAATGTATATAAATTATAACATAATTATGGCCTTCGTGCTTCAAACATTGCCAAGCAAACAATATGTTGAAATCCAGGATTTGTACTATTCTAAAGAAGAAATAGGCAATAAATGCGGCTGATGTGGCTAAAGGGGTGACTGCGTTAACAAAGCAAAGGTCTAAAGTGATCGAGAAAATAAGAAAACCCGTTGTTAGTTTGGATAAATGAAAGCAGTAGGTTGTAGTCTGTAGACAATGTTAGAGAGAAAATATTTTGTGAAAAGAATACGCAGTTGCAACGTGATTTGTAGGCCAAAAGTTTTGGCAAAACACTGAGTACAGGTTCCGAAGCTGAAGACTTTCAATTTAAAGCAAGTAGAGGGTGGTAGGATAAATTGTTGAATTCACAGTGTTGTAAGGCATGGAGAGGTTTCAGATACTTTTCATTATAGAAAAAAATTAAAAGTTAAAAAATACTAAATTTCTAAGGCTGGAATAAGTTAATTGAATTTTTATTTCTAGCCTAAATATATCTTGTTCCACTACTGTCTAAAATAAATTACTAAATGTTCTTGCATTTTTAATTAATATAAAGTTTGTCCTTGGCATAGAATTACTAAATATATTATATATAAGGTAATCTGCAATTCTGGGGAGATGCATTCAACATAGTTGCAGCAGGCCAAGGCAACATGATATTTTTATAAATACACCAAACTGAATTGTAAATGACAATATTAATTTTTCAAGTGTCTGATGAAGAACGCTAGGGTAGGACAAGGAAATCAAGTATTTTGTGGGAGTGAATATAGTGCACAACGATGATTACCGGTAGAGGGAATCTATGGATTATAGTTTATAGCATGAAAGTTTAAGCCTTTGCAAGAAAAAATGGCTTTGGCAAGACCAGAGAACATGCAAAACCTTGCTCTCAGTAGTCAGTAGTGATTTAAAGAATATTTACTAAAGAAATATTATTTAAATTAGTATAAGATCTAAGTCTAAGTGGAGTGTGGCTATCTGAGTGAGACGTAACACTGTAATTGCCCTAACCCTAGCCTATAATTTTTTTATACAAATAATTTTTCTTGGACAAAAATATTATGGAAGTTCCGGAGTTTCTGATTAGTAAACTTTGTACCGGCGGCAGGTTGCAGTTTCTTTAAACTTTTTTTTTTTTTTTACAAGCTTAACTAAATGTAAATAATAATACATAAACAAAAAAAAAATACAAATAACTCAGTACACCTAAATAAATTATATTTAAAATTTGAATCTCAAATTTTGTGCTTCACAAATTAAATGTAAAACTAATAACTGACATTGACAACAATAAATGTATTGTTTTAAAAATAGGAAATAAACAGTTTACAAAGCTCAAAACTGACACTGACAAATGTCAAATGATGCTGCTACTACTGCTGTTCCTACTACTACTACTGATAACTAACTACAACTTAGACTACAACATCCAATTATATTTCTCGTCCTATTTTCATCTGTCCCGTCTGCTGAGGAAGGCTCTTAGTCGTCTTAGTTTTAGACGAAACGTTCAAATCTCATTGTGATGTCTTTCACTTCAAACACCCACCTTGTTCTACTATTTACTACATTCATTCATTGTTCATTTTGGTAAAAATTACGGAAGAATAGAAGATGAAGTGACTCCGTGTGTAGCAGGACTGCCACTCACTTTTTTAAAATTTCCCAAGATTTGGTGAACAAATTTCCCAAGATTTCCCAAGCTCATAAAATATATAAGAGTTTTTAAAAAAGTTTTTTTTTCTATGTAATTAATGTAATAATAGATTGAATTAATGCCCCTGAAAACATGGTACATTAATTGACTGAAATTTATTGAAAAAGACATTTTAAAAAGTTTTTATCACATAAAAGAAACAAACAATTTGTTTTAAAAAAAATAATTTATAAACCAAAATATCAATACCCACTGGAGTTAGGCTACTAAATATTACCTCCGAATTCTCTGGTAAAAATATCATCTACAATACAGTGCATGATTCCCTCACAAAGTGGCACTGGAAATCTGTGAAATTTCCTCATCAACACCAGGAACAGAAACATTGCAAATCCCATCTACATGCATAGGAGCCAAAATGATCAATAAATTGATCGTGGGCCCTTAAGATATAGAAGAAGAAGAAGAAGAAGTCACTAGGAAACAAAGCTTACAATTACAAGGCTAATCAACACAGAATTCCTTTTACAAGGGCAAATAAGGGGAGAGACTGCAATCAGGTTAGTACATGGTTTTTTCTGTTGTTTTGTTCGCTGACGAAGGCTTTCTCCCGACACGTTCGCTGTTTTGTTGCGTTTATTTTTCAGGTTTAACCCTACTCTGTTTTAATCATTTTACAAAGGCAAAAGGTTCTTCATCAAAAAATGATTTTTCTTATTATAAGCCTGTTGACTAATGTTGATTAGAAGTGAGGTTTGCAAAGCAATGAAGCAAAATTTATTAATAATAATTGTAAATAATAATAGTTAAAATGGATTGACATTATTATGAAAACAATAAGTATTTTTATTTTTTTTCTTGTAAATTTACATTATAACGATTTTTTCAACAACAAAAACATACTTTTAAGGGTATTGTTCATTTATAATCCTACAACGTAGGCCTATACTTTTAATATCTTAGTTACCTGTGTTTCAATCCACAAATATTTTGTTCTAATTGATGAAAATTAGGCTGGATTTTTTACAGATGCATTATACTTTGAACACATTGTAGAAGTAATTGAAATAATCAAATTTTACTGTGGCATGGATTCTTGATTGAACACTATCGATCACTCTTCGGCTTGTACTGTTTTTCGTATGGTTGCTAATGTCTAATATCAGCCAAATGATAAAGTTTCCGAGCCTACCCACCCCACCCCCCCCCCCCCCCCCCCCTGTTAATACACAAACAAAAACCTGGATGTAATTTATAAATCTTCAATGTTAAAAAAAGAAGAGACAATTGAATTTTTCCTTAACTATTAACTTTTTAACAATTCAAAATAATATTAACTTTAACATCAGAAGAGTTTTTATATATTTGATGAGTGGATTTAAAAATTAAAACCAGAAAAGAAAATTAAAACAATTAATTTTTTGCCTTGTTACTTAAAAAAATTATTTTGCTTTATTTTCACTTTATTTTTTATCACATATTGCTGCGTTTTTTTTCGAAAAATATAATAAAATTTTCCACCAGTTAAGATTTCCCAAGATTTTGTCTGATTTTCAAAATTATTCCCCAGATCCCAAGGGGGGTCGTGACTTCCCAAGATCTTGGGAAATTTCCCAAGGTGTGGTAGCCCTGGTGTGTAGTCCTTACAAATATAATGGGAAGATTAGCTAATATTGGACTGAAGATGTACTAGTACTAGGTGGATTAGATAAATTATATTATATTTATCTTTTATTTTTATATCTTATTTTCGGTATATTGTCTGTTAATCAGTTATATAAGTGATATTATTTTAAAGAAGCAATGTAGGCCAATTAATATTTAGTTTCTTTTGCTGTATCACACTACAGTATCACTCTTTCTCACTACTCATGACTCTTACTCTAAATCCTTAATATTTCTGGACTTAAACTAAAGAAACATATGCCTATGCCGAGGTCTAATATTTTAATTTGAGTAATTTGAATTTGACGAAAATCGGGATAAACATTGAGTTGAAGAGCAAAAATTATTCATGTGCGTGTGTTGACTTGATACAATGATTTATTATTTATTTAAGTTTAAGTGAAGTTCAACTGCGTATAAATAATTTATAATAATATTATTTCTTAATGAATTTTGTATTTTGGCCTGTAAACTTTCATGTATTCTTTAATTTTAATAAGTTAATTCAAGGTGGCTGTAATAGTTAACTAATAACTAACACTAAATTACTAAATTTGTAAAGTTTAAAGCGAAAGCGATAACTTTTTGTTTGATTTCTAAAGCATCTTTGAACAGCCCCAAATGATACTGATACATAGCCCATAAATGATCTCTCCAATTATTTATTATTTGTTCAGGGGTCACCAAGCCCAGACCCTGTTTGTCTTACAGTTACAGGTGAATGTGTGTGGTATGGAGTATGGCAAAAAGTCACAGGAATAAACCAAATTAATTCAAAACTAAGAAAGGGATGTGGATCTATCACTATTCCAAGAAACTTTACAGTTACAGTCTGTTTACTTGCTATACCACTGCATGTTTGCCCTATGCCATGGTATTACTAATTACCACAGCAGCGCACAACATCCTCACAGTCAGTGGAGGTCGCTGAAGTAAAATTAAGTGTAGATTGATGCAAAACTAAATTGAGGTATACCCCAAAATGAATCCTCCTATTTTGAATTTATAAAAATTTTTCAATGAGCCCCCAATGATCGCTTCCCACACTTAGATTTAGCTCAGGAGCTTTGGGAAACTGTGTTCTTTCCCACCCCCTACCACCAACACAGAACAAAGTGACTTACTGGCACTTTTCTATAAGCAGAAAAACTGGATATAACTCAAAGCCTTGGGATCAAAGATAAAGTGGTGCTATTTGCAGGTTCAGCTAGTGTTAAAAAACTATCACATTCCTGGGCGAGTTAAAACATATGCCAGAGACAGTGCTATTTCAAGTTTCTTTATTCCAGGTTGCCCTTGCCAAAAGCACTATATGTTTTTTTAGAGTGGGGGTTAAAACTCAAAGTCTGCCCGGGGTTGCACAATGTCTTGCTATGCCACTGACATGATTAACAAGAAATGCACTGTCTCAATTAACATATTAAATATGCATTTCCAAGTAAATTTTTCCTACTTTCAGGATTTACTAGACCCTTGCCATGGAAAATTCTTCACCTTGTTCTGCGGGTGATCATGTTATAAATAAAGATACGCTTTGTAAAGAAAATAACAAGATTGGTAATTTGTCATCAGAAAGTATCATCAATTCAGAGTCTGATGCAGTAATTATTGAAGATATTGTCAATGTTTCTGGCAAGGATACTCAAATTGTGTTGACCACAAATGGAGTAAAACTGATCAGTCCCAAAGACAGAATAAATAAAAAGAAAGAAGGAAAAATAGGTAGGAAAATTACAAAGTGCATAGCTCAGTTTTATCAGTCTCTTCATAACTTGTATTTTTAAAAATTAAATTAAAAAATAATAATCAACTTCATTCAAAAGAATTCATAACTATAATACCGCCTTTGGTCAAAACTGTGATGGTAAGCATTTCTTAAGGCTAGCTTTTTTATTTTAAAAAATTATTGTGGGGTGTGTGTGTGTGTTTAATGAATGAAAGAAAATACTCTTTCCCTTAACCTTACGGCAGTCTCGGAATATTTATGCACTACTGAGAGTCATTTGGTCAATGTGAAATGTCTGGTGTCGAATCAATGCACTGCTGTTGAGAGAAAATTTCTGCATAGATTTTCTTTATAACTTCCAGAACTCTAGTTCCCATTTCACTGGTCAACAACGATTTTGCTATTGAAAGTAAAACATATGGGTGTATGTATTTTAACATGCTGATACCAAATACAAACCCTAGCATGTCTATTTATGCAGATTGTTTTGTCAGTTATGCATGCATTGAAGAAATTTATGTAATATTGTTGACACGCGCCCTAGGCATATTTCACGATTGGTAGAGTGCAAAGTGCCTGCAGCTTATGCCTTTACTAAATTTGGGATGAACCTACTTTTAACAGTTTTGGCAAAATAATTTAAAGAACTATATAATTTTAAAGACCAAATTATGCAAACATCAAATACCTATTTGATTTTTAAAAAAACAGGAAGTGTCGATTGTATTGCCCAATCGCATTGCCACAATAACAAATTGAGCCCTCAAAAGCCAAAGTTTTCCTAGGATTCAACTTGCCTCACCCAGTCACTTTGTAATATATATACCAATTATAAACTGGAAAATGATATCTATTTCTGTACTGATGGGAACGGTTTCATGATGAAGTTAGGTTGCATATACATTCCTGATAAGTGGAGACTGTGCATATACCCCAGCAAGGTGTGCTTGAAAGATGTGTTGTTACACAATGGTAAAAAAAAAATGTATAGTCCTATAACTCACGCTGTAGGCTTCACTCAGAGTGCCATATGACTCAATGAAAAAGAAACTCATTTTGAAAGTGATCAAAAGCTCAGAACACAACTGAAACGTCTGTGCTGACCTGAAAGTGGTAGCATTTCATTTAGGATTTCTTCTGGGGTACACAAAACATTTTTACTTTTTTGCTTATGGAACAGTCCTGATGACAGCAACCATTAAAAGTGAAACAGTGGCCTCCTAGATCTGACCACATTGTTGGTCACTACAATGCTCAACATGTATTATTAGTTGATCCAGAGAAAGTTTATTTACCAACACTTCACATTAAACTGGGCCTAGTTAAAAATTGTGTAGTAGCAATGGATCGTAATGAAAAAGATTTTCAGAATGTGAAAGAGAAATTTCGAGCAATTAAAACAGATGGTTAGCTTTATTGGGCAAGAAGTCTGCAAATTGATATGTGATACTTTATTTAGAACGAAGCTGAAACCACTTGAACATGCCGCTTGAACCCACTTGAACATGTACAACAGGGGTGCAAAACTTTCTTGGGAATCACTGTGCTCAGAACTATGTTAATAGCCTACAAGCAGCTCGGCTCCTGATGTTCCTAAAATGTATTTTTTACCTTCTTATCTGGATTTTGTACCACCAAACTTGGTTGATGAAAGCGATTAGCATGGAGTGAGAGATTTCATCAAGACATATTTACCTTGAAAACAAGGTATCAAGGCCACTGCAATTTTACATGAGGGCTCATTACTGCTTGTTAATCAGCAAGTAACAGCGACAAATCATAAGAGCAAGTACCTAAAGAACCCTTGGAACTGGTATTATAGAGTTAAGCTGAAGATGAAATTTATTCTTTTTTTTTTATCTGAGTAACATACATATATTTATATTAGATTTAGAAACTTTATCATTAGATTCTTTTTTCTTAAATTTTATTGCATTGTTTAATAGAATTTTGCTTGTTTTTATCATGACTTTCTATGGACTTTTTTTTTTAAGTTAAAAAATCAAACTATAAAATTTCATATTGGAAATAAGATACATTTTAATTTCAAATTATTAAAGTTAATAACATTTTTAATGTTATGACTACTCTGAGAGTCATGCCACACAGTTATTTAAAGCAAATACTAGCTCTGTAATTTGTTTGCATAATAAAAAATTTAATTTTAACCTGAAGCTGCATAACTTAAAATCCAAACATGCTGCACAAAATCTGATCTCATGATTTGGAATCGGCACACTCGATTTAGTATAAGCCACATGGCAGAATTATTATGTCATTATGTGTTCAATCCTTTGGTCATCAAAAATTGACAGTCACTCAAAAGCCACCCTTTGGTATCAACCGTCCTAACAAAATTTAATGGACTTGTGTTTTTCCTTTTTTTCTTTGTTTCTTCTTTGATATCTTAAGGCACGACGATCAATGTAATGATCGTTCTGGCTCCTATTTAAGTAGAGGAGATTCGGCATGTTTCTGTGCCTGGTATTGAAGAGGATATTTCACTGGTTTTCTCCCCTTGATTCTATAATTGTAATTATTTATTGGTTAAGAATCATTTAGGGACTTGTGCTTTTTCACTTCTTTCTTGGTTTTCTCCCCTTGATTCTATAATTTTTTTCTCTATTTCTATTGTATCTTATGTCACTGCTTATGTGATTTAGATCACATAAATTTTAAAAAAAATGGATTCTTTGTCGTGGGGTCGCTAATATGCATCGGCCTACTGTGCCTTTAAAGTAAATCTCGCATTGGTAAAAAAAATAAAGCTGTTTTTCAGGTCCATTTCTAGAGTGGAGAGATGTGATTAGTGCATCAAAAGATCCCAAAAGTACAGAACAGTCTCACCAGTGGATCCTGAATTATATTCACCATGGCTCTAAATCAATTGTACATCACAGATGTTTGAAAGTTCATGATAAAAATGGCAACTCTGATAAATTGATTACTGCTATTCAAAAGCAATGTTCCAAAGGTGAACTAATAAACAAACATAGTATGCTTACAATATGGAACTATAAGGCAAAATATATAGGGCCCATCTTTAAAAAAGCTTTCTAGAAATAATAACATTTTTGTCATTAAATAAATTGTTTTTATAAAAAAAAAAGCAAATGCTCCTTTAGTGTTGTTACTGATATGGCGAATTTCTGTTTTGAACCATGTCTTGTTTTTCCTTAATGCTCTACACTACAACTACAACATTATTATTTTTGTTTCTTCTCTAAATCAGTTGTTGGCCGTCCAAAAAAATTATTCATTTTGATTAATCCAATTGGTGGTGCTTGTAAAGGGAGACAAATTTATCAGAAAGCTGCAGAGCCATTATTTAAACTTGCATCAGTGGAAACCCATGTTGTTGGTATGGTATTATTAGTATTGTTATAAATGTCTTTCAAAATATCTTACAATTTTACCCTGGCCTAAATTTAATTTAAGGTTTACATAAAATCAGAAAATGTTATGTAAGAAATAATAATTTTATGAACTGACATAGTTCTCAATTCTATTTTTATCAGTGACGGAAAAATCTAAACATGCTTTGGAAATTGGAGAAACTCATGATTTTTCTCAATATGATGGGTAAACATATTTTAGTTTACACTTAGAGTACCGGTAAGATCTATATTTAATTATTTTATATGCAGTCCTAGCAGGCATTCTGTTCTTTGAATTTTATAATAAATAATATTATATTTGAGAAGAAATTTATTACTAAAGTTTTTTCCCTTTAAATTTAAATATCTGAACTATAGCGTTGTCATAGTTGGTGGAGATGGACTATACCAGGAATTTCTCCAAGGTCTCACAATACAGACACAAAAGAAATCTGGAATCAATTATGATGATCCAAATGCAGAACTCTCAAAACTCAACATACCCATTGGAATAATACCTGCTGGTACTAAAGTGTAAAAGTAAAACATTTCTAACCTGTCAATGGTTTGCTAACCCTTCCGTAGGAAGTGTTTTTAAAATGTTTGTATCACCCCAATTTTTTTTAATATAAGTAACAAGAAAAAGCAATTTGATTAGGGGTTATGGTGTTGGAAATATTTTTCTTAGATATACAATTCCTAAGAAATATTAATTTAAAAGAAAAGAAGGTAAAAACAAACTGAAGTCAGTAAAGAAAATAAAAATGACTGCTTCATCAAGTAGTAAAATATTTGTAAAAGATATAAAGTATAAATGAAATATTTATAATAAGATTAAAGATGTCTAAAATTCTTCCTACTTGAACAGGAACAGGGAATGGTTTGACATATATGATCAATGGCATCCAACATGCTGAAACAGCAGTACTTAATATCATCAGAGGTTAAATCTGTGTTCAATTTTAATTTAAGTACTTATGCATCCTGAAATTGTTCACTATTTTAAAAATAAACCTTATAATTAAAGTGCACTTAAGTTTAAGGGCCAATTGACTTAATGATGGTCAGTTAATAGGAAATTAAATATACAGGTAATTGAAAGTTACTTCAATAATGTAGAATTTTATGAAAAATATTATTTTGAAAAAAAAAAAAAAATTGATCATTTGGCTTACAACTTACAGAAAAAAGGAATATTTATTTTTAAAAAGTGCCATATTTGCTAGTGTTTAGGATAAGGTCGTCAAATGTGCTGGTACCGAATCTATCACTTTCCATTTTCTAAAACTATTGTCTGCGCCTCGTTGTATGGAGACGCCCTCGTCCTCATTCTATTCAGCTGCTGTAATCACACCACCCCCCCCAACCCCACCTTTTTTAACACACATTTTAAGAAGAAAAAAAATCTAACGTCCCATAAGATAAGATGCAACCCCATATTTTATGCATATTTTAAGGAGGAAAAGGAAAAGTCAGTTTTATACGCTGGCAAACATGGTATATTAAATATTAGAATGGTAAGATAATTCTGTTCTTTTGTTCTGTAAACATTATTCTTACCTTTTTAAACTTTTCAGGTGAACAGCACAGAGGTCAGATTTTCATTGTGCACAGTGGCTCTAAATTCTTGTGTGTTAGTGCATTGGCATTTGGCTATGGGTTTTTCTCAGATTATGTGAAGAGAACCGAAGAGTTGAGATGGATGAAAAAAGCCAGATATGCATGTAAACTATTTACCAATTAGTTAAAAATTAAGAATTGCAAAAGATAGCTATAATGCCATGCATAAATTTAGAGTCAAAGAAGGTTTTAATCTCTTTAAAAATTGTAGCATTTAACCACTGTAATAAGTTTCTGTGAAAATAAAAAAAAAAACTAGCACTGAAAAAATGCTACCGTACAAATAATGAGGAAATAAAGATGATTTGAATTATCATCGCTCACCCAGTTTACCTAATTAATTATTGTCACCAGGTAAAAGAAAATGACAGCAACGTTTGCCCAAGCAAATAAGTTTGTGCATTGACTGGATAATGTTGTTCTCTGGCTTTCTTTTAATGCATAAACTTGATATTATTCAAAAACACAGTTTGTCTTGAATGTAAGTTGTGATTACTGTAACCATATATTTTTTATTATTGTTAATGATAATGTAATATATAATCGTTACAATTACAGATACTTTTATTGGAATGCTTTCTAAAAAGAAGAGGTTCTTTCAAGCTGAACTTCAGTATCGCTTAAAATTAAAGGCTAATGACTCCAGGTACTTATGTTTTCTGTTTTTTTATTACAAGGCAAAAAAAATCCCTTAAGCTATAGGTTTAGATTTTTTTTTGAATTAGTCAATTGTTTCAATGCTGTTTGTTTTCATTGCAGTGGTGGGAATGAGCAAGGTGAACAGCAAAAATCAGGTACATTTGAGACTAAAGAATAAATTTATAAATTTAGTTGACGGAATGAGAATAAATTAGTTAACAAGTTTAAAATATATATTGATATTATGTAAATGCATCAAAAGAATGGTATCAATTAAAAAAACCTCAAGACATAGTTCTATATTCATCAGATTGGATAATTCACAAAAATGAAACCAAGAACTACAACTGCATTTATAGTCTGCAAGGTGAGCTGGTAGATGCTGGTGACCACAACATAGTTGATCCATATGGTAGCCATGTAATGCTTGGAGCTGGAACTGGATGTGGACATTTTGCACTTTTTAAAACTATGATGTATACTGTTTTTGGAAAGAAAATAAATGTGAGTTACAAATGTGTTCTGGACATAACTGACTGATCATTACACACTTTATTGATTAACTGATAACACCCTCATCATTTAAGTCTTCATTCTAAAGTTGTTTGCATTGTTCTGTGTGACTGTCAACTGTAATACTCTCCTGATAACTTTTATATATATATATATATATATATATATATATATATATATANATATATATATATATATATATATATATATATATATATACATTGATTATTTTCTGTTCATTTTATTTGCAGTCCACATTGTCAAATCTTGATTTGATAGGCTGTTAACTGTAATACTTTCCTGATAACTTATATCTATATATATATTGATCTTTTTCTGTTCAATTTCTTTGCAGTCCTCGTCAAATCTTGATTTGATAGACAGGGTCACAGACTTTAAGATCAAGGTTCTGAGGGATGAACAAGGTGGCAGTGAAAGGATTTCTGGAGCAAGAGCTAGGGAAATAGAGTTAGAGCATCTGATTGACATAGATGGTGAGGTTATTCACCTTGAGTCATTGGATATGACTGTCAGGTAAGACAGATGTTATTGTATTTTTTTTATATTGTTTGTAACTTAACAAAGACAATTTTCAACTTAAGCAACAGCCTTACTTGAGCTGTATTTTGTTTAAAGTCAGCCTTACTCTTTCATCCTTGGTCAAGACAACTGGAAATAGAATTTTTTTTGAGTCAAATGTCAACCTGCCTACAGGACTCGATCTCAGGTTTGATTTCAGAGTTTGCCTTCTCACAGATGAGTTGCCGTCCAAGGTTAACGAGTCCCATCCACCCAGGGTACTGGTGATGGTTATGCTTTTGCTGGGGATTACACCCTTATCTCAATATATCACCCCTATGTCATATTCCACTGATTTGACCAATGAAATTCTTATCTTGTTGTTTATGTAAATTTAGGGGATTATCACGTTGACATATTGTAACTGTATAATTTATAAATATATTTATAACTTTTTGTCCAAACAGAGTGCAACCATCTCTTACTCTAATTTATGGTGTAAAAAAAAAACAAGTAACCCATAAGTTCCAGCATGACTGAAGATGAGACTGTTATAATGATGACAATGACTCTAAAAATATCCAGCAAGCTGAATTAGTTATTTTAACATTGATACTTTGCTAAGACTTTGATTGTATTTGTAATATTAATAGTTTGTAGAAGTGTAACTACTCAAGCTATAGATATAAAATCATCTCAATTAGGAAATAGTTATTTTATTTTATTAAATTTCTTATTGTTTGAAATGCATGAGAATAAACCAGTGATGCCTATTCATAACTCATAGCCATTAGAGCTGCATGAATTTTAAACAAATAAATTAAAATTATATTACATCATGATCATTTGAATGTATTGAATGTATTTACCAGAATTTTTGTTAACCTCTTTTATTTATACAATGAATCCTTGAAAATGTGTCCATTTCTGTTTCTATTGTTTCTACACTTTAAAATTTTTTTTTAAAAATTTACCTTTGAAATAAACAAACATTGATTTCAATATTTTTATTCATTGTAAGTTTGTAAGCATAGCAAATGTGCAATTTTTCTTATCAACATCTACATATGTGATGTTTTAATTGTTATCTATATTAATGTTGTAATAAAAACACAATATGGTTTTGCTTGTGTTCATAGGTGTTTACCACCTATTTTTGGTCACTACAAAATATTGAATATTAATTTTGTATTATGTGTCACTTAATATTATAAACAAATTATATTTTAGGATCTATTGTGTTCATGTCTTTCTTTTACATAAAACAAATATTTTATCTAATATTTTATTGATTTATATCTTTTTTTTTTTTAAATTTTGCATGCCTTCTAAACCATAAATACCAGCATTTTACAATTTAAAGTTTTATGAATGTTTATTTTAGCTAAAAAGTTATTTGACGAAAATAAAAAATAAAACTCAATTTGTTTCCAAAACGTATTATTTTATTAAACTTAATGTATATATAATATTTTTCACATACAAGAGCTTTATTGTAAATTAACTTGGAAAAATTATTATAATATATGCTCAAATTGATGATTGAAAATTATGATTTGACTTGAATATATTTTTTTAGACTAAATTGAAGTTAATGGAAATCAATTATACAAACGTTCTGTTTTGAATACATGGTTCCTTCGATTTGCTTTGATTAGCTTTGATTTTTGCTTTCTTTCTTAGAATTTGTTTTTAGAATAAACTTTTCCAACAGTGTCATATTTACCTTGTTACTTTTATTAATTTCATAATCACTTCTTAAATGTAAAAGAGCTATCCTCATTTCTTTTCTTTTTAAAAGTGTTACCTGTGTTGTTAATTTTTTAAAATTTAACTATGTCCTTGACATACAATTGAATGAAGTCAACTATTCCAGCATATCCCAATTTGTGGTGCACCCCCTCCCACACCCGCCGAGACAATTTTCATAGATTATTGGAGGACATTTACTAGCGCCTAGGTCATTGGCATAGGAAAGGGTGGGGACACGGTCTGCCCTTGGCCGTCACCAAGGCCGCTTTTTATTTAAATCTCCCACTAACTGGGGGAGGGGGGCAATAAAACATTAAGGTGATCAGGTGGGGGGTAAATAAAAATGATTGGGAGGCACTGCCCGTCAGTGTTTTGAAATATGTGTGGACCATAAGAAGCACTGCCCGTCAGTGTGTTAGAATATGTGTGGACCATAAGAAGCACTGCCCGTCAGTGTGTTAGAATATGTGTGGACCATAAGAAGCACTGCCCGTCAATGTGTTAGAATATGTGTTGATCATGGGTAGCACTGCCTCTCCATGTGTTAGAATATGTGTGGATCATGGGAAGCACTGCCTGTCAATGTGTTAGAATATGTGTTGATCATGGGAAGCACTGCCTCTCCATGTGTTAGAATATGTGTGGATCATGGGAAGCACTGCCTGTCAATGTGTTAGAATATGTGTTGATCATGGGAAGCACTGCCTGTCAATGTGTTAGAATATGTGTTGATCATGGGAAGCACTGCCCGTCAATGTGTTAGAATATGTGTGGACCATGGGAAGCACTGCCAGTCAGTGTGTTAAAATATGTGTGGATCATGGGAAGCACTGCCCGTCAGTGTGTTAGAATATGTGTGGACCATAAGAAGCACTGCCCGTCAATGTGTGAGAATATGTGTGGACCATGGGAAGCACTGCCCGTCGGTGTGTTAGAATATGTGTGGACCATGGGAAGCACTGCCCGTCAATGTGTTAGAATGTGTGTGGATCATGGGAAGCACTGCCGGTTAGTGTGTTAGAATATGTGTGGATCATGGGAAGCACTGCCCGTCAGTGTGTTAGAATATGTGTGGATCATGGGAAGCACTACCCGTCAGTGTGTTAGAATATGTGTGGATCATGAGAAGCACTGTCCGTCAGTGTGTTGGAATATGTAGGGACCATGTTAAACACTGCTCGTCAGTGTGTTAGAATATGAGTGGAACATTCCACATTTTTTCTCTGGCTATTGCAGCTACTTTGTTCAGAGCATTGATCACGTGACAAATTACCTCACACAGTATGACGATAAATGCAAAGTATGATTTCTTTTAACTTAAAGAGTTTAATTTTTTTAAAAATTAAATATTAATTTCACAGATGTTTAGGTGACAGGTGGCTTTATTAGATTGTCAGAATTTCAGTACATACTTTTCTTTTTTCAGAACATACTTTTCTATACCCCACCCCCAGCATGCGCACCAGTGAGCATAATCTCCAAACACAACAACCCCCTCCCCCTAGCAGTGCTTACGTAATCAATAGATGGTCCCATGTCATACTGGTTTAGAAGCTTAAATCTAGTACCGTAACTCTTATGTCTTTATAATCGTTATCATTCCTGGCCTTTCGCACTGTAAATTTTCGTATGGGCCTGCAGATATCCGGAGTTGTGGAGGGGGGTTAAAGCCACATGCCGACAAAAGGGGGGGGGGGCGGGTTGGAGGTATTTTTAAAAAAATGCAATGTGTAAATTGTGGGACGTCCTTCATGTCATTTAAAAAAAAAAGATCTCGAAAAAAATCTTGTGATAAATAAACTATGAAACAGGGGTGGCCAACAGAAATGACTTCAAGTTCATGGACCACCATTATTAATGGTGATACCTGGGTTACATATTCAATCTTTTTGCCCAATCCTCAAATGTTTCCAGCCCAGACGAAAGAGGACAAAGCCCGGTGAATATATGGTGTTTTAAAATTCATAACGAAATGGGACCTCCTGGATTCTCTCGAAATTAATAATTTTAGCATGAACACGGCCAAATTCTGTAAAAAAAAAGTCAACCAAAGACTTTTCTCTCTTTAAGAAAATTGTACAATATCGGCGTAGAAAACAAACACGTTATTAACTTACTCTACACAGTGAAACAATTCGGAGCCTACTGAACGTGAGTATTGTCCGCTGGTGTGGGAATTCATCGTCTGACATCAAACACCATTAAATTATATAGACTACATGGGCGCCCGCAGAAAACTTTCAGGGGGGGGGGGGAAATCGATTAACTTTCCAGGGGGGGGGGGCAAAAATTGTAAAGTAATATTTTAATGTTGTTTTAATTTACTGTAGCTTATTTGTATGGTGAACGAACGGACAGGACATCAGCTTAGTTACTTTCTCTTTATTTTCTCTTTACTTTAATAAATTTTTTGTCTATTTTTGTCTAAATTTTTTTTATCCAATCAATCCAGCGGGGACAAGTGCCCCCTTGCCCCCCTCTGCGGGCGCCCAGGATAGACTAATCAAGAAAGCTGGTAATATCACACAAACTAAATGGCCTTCACTTGAAGAACCATTTGAAGAAAAAGACTGTTGTAAAACTAAAATATTCGTAAATGAAACATCTTACCCTTCTCGTCGGAGATAGGCCTACCTACGATCAGCTCGAAATCTTTCTTTTAAAGTTAGGCCCGAAATCTATAAATTATAAACATTATTTTTATTTCCCAGTTTGTACGAATTTAGCAGTGTGCTCCCAAAATCTAAATTACCACTAATTAAGTCAATATTGTCACTAAAGGGAGTTCACTGATAGCTGATTTAAATGCAAGAGAAATACATTAGATGTCTTGTGTTAAAATTTGTATAATTGTAAAATGTTGTTTAGGTTAAAATGTGTATTTATTTATGTGCAGAAAATAAATATGTACAATTTAATCAAAAACATGTCAATTTGTGTGGATAAAAAAAAGAACGTCAACTTATCATTATATGTATACGTTTGCATTGCTGCAAGTAAGTTTTATGTGACACAATTATTAGCATGCAGTTTCTCTAATCATGGAATTATAAGTTCTCACAACTGCCTTGCCATGCAAGTTGCATTAATGTTGTATGCTCCCATTGATCCTAATTCTGACAAGTAGAATGAATTAGCGATACGGTTGCGTGGGTGTCTTTGCGACTTGGGATGAACATTAATATTTAGTACATTTTGGAAAAGCGTGTTTTAAAAATAATTTTTTGTTTTTGTTTTAAAGGTGCGTTAATGCGAATAATGAAAATAATCTCTAATCGAATGAAGAAGTAAGTTAATTTGTGATTCATCCGGTGGGTCACACTCTTTAACGCGGCGGATTGCAGTTGCCTCCCCTACCCTGTTCAAGACTTTACTTATAGTCTCCCACAGTGGCGTCACTTGATTTTGGTGTCAACCGGTATGGTAACCCTCCCAAATCCAACGCCTTGCTCCGAGTACTAGTTATTATTAAAGTGGGTTAACTACAGGGACGTTATTTGGGTGGGGCATTGGCCTCCAGCAATAAACAACTTAACAAGCCGACCAAGTTTTGGGTCCCCAATGTGTTAATGTGTTTACATTATGTATATTTACTTATTTACGCTATATAAGTATATATACGTTTTTACTATTTCCCAAATTTTACTCTGGTGGGGTACAACTGGGGAAAACATATCTTAAAAGAAAAAAGTCTATTTATTAGTGTTATTTTTGCAAATAACTTGACGAATCATTCTTATCATGAAAAGTTTTTAAGTATAAGAGGAATAAGGGGAAAATTTTCTGACATTGTATATGTCTACCATTTCCTACATACCTACACAAGCTAAGTTTGTCTGTCTCTGTATTTTTTGATGTGGAAGGCTTCTTGGCCGAAGCAAATACTATTTTGTATTGTCCTTCATGGTTTCAATCTATCCTGTGTATATTTCTTACCTTTTTCCTTTGAGTATAAATAATTTTTACTTGATCATCTCTACCATAAATTGCTCTGTCATTATGCTGTTAGCATCGACCATATTTAAACAAGCACACTATGTAACCTATCGTTGACTCCCCATTCAAAGTCTGAAGAACGTCTGAAATCCACATTTCTAGATAATCACAACGCCGTATAATCACTCAAAGCAATGCTGTATAACGTGCTGTTTGGGGGACTAAGCTCCAAAAAAAACCCCACATTAGGACTGGTTCGATGTAAACTGTATGGTAATCAAGCAATGCTGGAGGAAAACCCTTGTCTTCACAATTGCTATATCTACAACCTGAATTCAATTCTCAGGAAAGAGGCTTACAGCAAAATGAGAAGAACGGTGCAGCAAAAACTACGCCAAATGGAGGATAAATGGTTAGTAACAATGCGGCTGCGATCCAGGATTATGCCGGACAGATATGCTTTGAGAAATTTCTACACCACTCTCAAAGACGTCTTCGGCACCACTTCATTAGAATCATCCCAACTTCTCGGTACTGATGAGAAAACTCTGATTACCGAGAAAGAACAAAAATATCTAACGCTGGGCAGAGCACTTTGACAACAGCCAAAATAATCACCCTACATCCATCAACGACGAAGCCTTAAATTGACTTCCGCAGGTGCACAACAATCAATAAATTGAAGACACCCCTCCCCCCTCACCTTCTTAAACGAGACACAACAAGTTATATGCCTTCTCTCGAGAAGCAAAGCTCCAAGTGATGACTCCATGAAAGTTGAAAATTTTACAAGGAATCTGGCACGGCACTGGCAGAAGCCCGAAAGGCTTCACCATCAGTTCACACTTAGCGGTGGCAGCAAGTGGATAGTGTGGATTTCACTTGTACAAACATAAAGGGTACCGTCAATCTTAAGAACAACTTCCAGTTGCATATATTTGCCTATACTTGGTTTGGTCAGTGGGCAGACAAATGCGAGAAAACTGGTTTGAAAATGTCACAATCTTCCAAAAAGCTACCACTGGTTGAAAAT